CAGTGGATCTGTGCTCAAAAATACAGCCTAGGTGGAGTAGTCGAACACAGATCCACTGATCCTTCAACACAGAGCATCTTCAGAAGACAAGTTGATAAAATAAATTTTAACAATCTGTATTGTTCCATACAAGTGTGTATTGAACCTAAAGTACTGTTCGATACRGGTACATGTATCTAATATATATACAGTATATGTTGGGGGTATAGTTCAGTTATGAAAGCACTCGTGACATCACAGCTCTGTTGGAAGGTTCTGGCAGCTAAAGTTGGCTGATAACACAGCTCATCACTTCAACCGAAGCTTATTAAATCTGCTGAGCTCAGCAGATCTTCTCTGTATTTTTTGTACTTTTAGCTCATTTGTTTGTCCTCCTGAGAGTTCATGATGTGGTTCAAACTGAGCAGCGTCTGCTGGTTTCAACCAAAACCTCCAGTCAGTTCCTGTCGGACGGCCGGAGTGCAGCTACATGATCAGACTGTTGTGATTTTATTATTCCACAGTTTATTGTCTTTAAAAGTTGCACGGCGCTGTCTTTGTGTAGCCAGGAAACAATGACAGCTGAGACTTTTTCACAGATTACACAAACTCCCTGCTTTACTCACGTTTGACCACATCCTCTTCTGTTCAGCAGCAAATCTTGCAATAATGGAAAAAAACACGTAACCCACTTTAAAAACGTTAGTTTTACTGGAACAATGCAGCTGAATAAACCTCTTTAAAATCTCCTCTTTTTGATTTTTCTGTCTCTTAAAGCTTCTGACCTGCAAAGAAATATTAATATTGAAGAAATCATGAAAAAAAGCTTTCAAAGCAACAAAAGCCARGGCGCCTCTGCACCTCAGGTGAGGCTGAAAACTTGTGAAGCTGTGAAACATTCAGGAAACGCAGGCGACACCAGCGTTCGTCTGAAGCTCTCATCTACACTCAAAGAGCTGAACTTCTAACACCAGCTGTCACGAGTCGTGTTCATCTGCAGCAGGTTGCAGCGCACGTTAGTGCTGGGCGGTATACCGTTTTGTACCGAAAACTGGTTTTTATTTTTGTTATGATATGAGTTTTCTGAAAACCGGTGTAAMCAGCCTGAACAGGTGCGGAACGTTTTGTCGCAGCTGCCAGTGAACTGTTTCCCTGGGGACACGTTTGTTCGCAGCACCGCTAAGCGCGTCAGCATGCTAACGTTATTGTTGGAACAACTGGTGGCGGGTGGTGTGTTTCAGCCGATTATATGGGCTGTGTCCAAAACGACAGGCCGGGTCCTCCGGAGGACCCAGACTACCCGATCGAGGTGGGCCTGGTCCTTGGTAGACCGGGAAGACCGGAAAAAAAGAGGCTGTGGATTTGGACAGTCTAGCCTCCCCTCCTTACCCCAGCGTACATCATGTCACCTAGCAACTGTGACGACGCTAAACAAGCAAACTTAAATCAAAACTAGAAAAATATCAATACATTAGCATTATTAATATCACAAAACTATAAAATTAA